CATACAATACAATAAGGTTATTGCTCCGAATTTGGATTCCATCTGTGTTTAGTAACACTCTAACCATAACGTTCTGTTGCACTCATGCTCTTGAAATCAACTTCGGTGTTTGTCACTTGTATTTTTTCATTGTTTAGTGGCTCAAAGTTTGGGGGATAGATTTGACCAACGTTTTAATTTCTTAGATGAACGCCTGCTGGTTCAGGTAGACTAAGTATTCCGCAAGAGATTCCATTCTCTCTAAAAATTGCACTTAAGTGGAATGCTAAATTCATAACTTATACGTGTAAATGGTCAAAAAACACCTGACAACAGTAGCCCACCAGAAACAACTCAAAGGTTAGTTGCGCGCATTTATAAGGCTCTTCTTAATGGGTTCATGATTGACATTAAGGATAGACATATAATGTGTCGTTCACAAACATGTCATCGAATGAGGCCTTGATGTGTCATAATTAACATATGCTAATAATGCTGACCAAGATCCTTATCCTCGAGAATTGCTAAGAACATTTACATGGTTCTTGTGGAACATACAACGCAGTGGTAATTGTTTGCAGATATGGAATCATGTTTACCATATCTGCAAACAATTACCACTGCATTTTAGTAATATTGATGAATATTCATGGGGTTTACTGGAAATAAAGATGGTAGAATCTCTGGGATGCCTGGATCGCCACCATTATCATTTCTAGCTAAATAATCCATGAGGCCAGAATATGAAGCCACTCTAAGCTGAGCTTGGTTGCTCCTGATGAAGTTTAGGCGGAACCCTCCCATTTTGACATAGGTATCACTTACATATTGCATACTCTTACTGGGTGATCTTGGATGTGTTCCATGTTTATGTGCCAACCATCTTCTCCATTTGAAAATAATATTTGATACACTATGCTATCCAAATGACAATATCTCGAATATCCATCCTGTACAAAAAAAAACATCGTTGTTGCGAGCGTTATTGTATCATCTTCATCTGGATCTGAAATAAAATACATTTAGATTCTCTTTGGTTTTACATTCTCCCTGACTGATCGTTCCTCCTCTTATAACTGCACAGTTATCATATTTTGATACGTTGCTGCATATGGATTATTTTGCATATCAGTAGAGATAATTTCAAATATTGACTACAAACAATTGCTATTTTCAGGTGCTTCACTGCAAGCTTCATGGATGTCTATAATATGAAGTTGTCCATACTTTCTTTCCTCATTGTCTTGGTACATGGTGCTAAACTTGACCTTGTAATCAGAAGTAGAAAAGAAAACATGTCCTACTGGAAGCGTGATATTCTCTCCAATGGAAGTAAATGAAAATGTAAAGTTGTACTTTTAAATGTACAGCTTAAAATGTATTCCTTCTTTATCATTGCTATCAACCACGATCGTCTGAGTTCAACATGATATTCTTGTAAATTAGGCAGCGATACTTTTCCATTTTGGTAGCAATTCAACGGTTCCTTTATGAATCTAAGTGTTTCACATTATTGGCAAAGGATATCCCATCTCGTCTACATTTATATAGTTAAAAGTAATGCTTTGTTTGCAATAGAAATTCATTATAAATCAATCCACCAAGATGCAATTGACAGAGTTACTTCCTTCAGTCTGTAATAAATTCATAAAGATATGATTTTAAAAAAAGAAGTATTTTAATTTCAAAAAGTCACTTGCAGTTTAGGAGGGAATCTCGTTAGGTCACGAAATATGATTTCTCTCCCTCACTACAAACAATTGTATTTATCTAAGATAACCGCCTCTTATCTCTCTCCGTGCTGCTGTTTCTCTCTCTCTCTCTCTCTCTCTCTCTCTCTCTCTCTCTCTCTCTCTCTCTCTGTGTGTGTGTCTCTTTATGTTTCCCTCTCCGACATATAAGAAGGCCCGTGTTCAGTAGGATTGGTGTATATATATATTCATTTTAGCAGGACACACATATATGCATAACAAATGTCCTAGTCTTGGGTTGATTAGTCATATTTTATGGATACGTTATTCAGAAAATTAGGTACAATTATTGATTAGGGATATATGAGTATTATTTTACTTTTACTTTAAGATAATGTAAATTTAATTTAAAATTTATTTTAAAAATTACTAAAAATCTGATTTTAAGAAAAATTTATTTAAAATAAAATTTAAAAAGTCACACGGTAAATTAAAGTCTCTTTCATGTACATACACACACACACACACGCACACGCACGCACAAACACACACAAACATACATATATATATATATATATATAGAGAGAGAGAGAGAGAGAGAGAGAGCATTCTTGTCGCCTGAAGATCACGAGAGCGTGAAACATGTGTAGTGACTAGAGCTGTCCTACGTTGAGTGTTGTCATTGTGAAGCGATTTTTTTCTGTATAGATAGTCTAAGCGCTTTAATTTACTGTGTAGGTAGGCGTTTACCTTCATTGTTTCCCCCCCCCCTTGTCCGGGATTTTTTCTTGTCTAAGTCTAAGGTATTAAGTCTTTTGGCAAGTTGTCTGTTGGTCACATTTTTTACATATTTGTTCACGTATACAATACTTCAAAAAATGCTTAGCGATATTGACACATAAAAGAAAAACATGCAGTCTAATTTTGCTTACGAGCGACATCTTGCCCTGCTTATTTCATGACACCAGTAACTACAGTTTATGCGTACATATAAAACAACGTAAACCCGTGTCACATACATCCTCACACATGCAAACTCTTTCTGTTTTTGCTATATTAACGCAATTCATTTGGTTGTACTGCTAAAATAAAATATTTACAAAATATTTTTTAAAGCTGCTCGCAAAGAAATTTTGTAATTTCTTTCTTTCGACCTGAAAGAAAAATACATAAAAAAAATATATATATTTGTAGAGCCATATTTGAAGATTCGCTTATTTCTTCGCTTATACAGGCATAAACTGCTTTTATATATTATATATATATATATATATATATATATATCTGTGTGTGTGTGTGTGTGTGTGTGTGTGTGTGTGTGTGTGTGTGTGTGTGTGTTTCATTGAATAATATAGGCATATTGCGTCTACTTATTTTTAATCTGAACCTTTCCAGATCTTGGAAAAGATTGAATGTACTTAGATTAAAAAATCTACGGAACCTTCCTCGATTAATTTCATCTTAACATCAAGAAACTGACAAATGGAAATCAGTATAGAAATAAGTAGAAACAATATGTCTATATTATTTAATGAAATCAGTTTGAATGAATACATGCTGCCTATACACACACACACATATATATACTTACATACATATAAGCATTTCTCTTTATATATAAACTAAACAGATATTCAAGTTTGTTTTTAGATAAACTTCCTGTATATGCAAATATTGTAAAGATTGATATACACACTGTATGTCTCGGTACAAATGTTGTGTGTATGTGATTTTTTTCGCTATATGCATGTAGTACCATCATATCTTGTAGTACTTGTGCAATCTCGATATATGTGCATATTTGACACATCATCCAATCAATCTAAGTGTGTATTATGTGTATATGAATATATGTATATTATGTGTATATGCATATAAAAATATGCGCATTTCTGTAGTGTCTACATATACGCACATTGCAATTTTATTGGTATCTTTGCTTTGGTGCCTGTACTTACATATATGCAAATTGTATTTCAATTTACAAATACAAGTCTACGTGCCTATATTCTTTTGAAATTCAAGTACTCCTAACACCAGCTGGTTAACCCGTAGCATGTATTCGTAATAATTTGTGTATTTTCTGTACTTTCTGCTGGCATTTCATTGGTTTGCTTATGATTCACTGAACGTTTGTTGTTAGCAGACATTTTTGTTCTCAAATAACGGCTCAATGCTCCAGTGCCCGCGCAGTAGTGAACTTCTATTTACTTTCTTTTTGCTGTTACAGATACGAACAGTAAAAAATATACATGCTATATAGCATGAAAAAAATATGAAGAAAAAGTAAATTTTTATTATTATATGAAAGCATCTTCATATGTATGCAGTAAGCTTGATGAGCACAGCATCTTGTCAAAGATCGTAGAAAATACATAAAGAAAACATTTTGACCTCTGATGTGACAATATTGAAAATAAATGATGGCCGCAGCTATGAAAAGTGAGGTCGGGGAGCCGAGTTCAAACTCCCGTCTCGTCTGTTGTGTTCGCTTTCGCACAAATGCTCTTAAGCAAGGCAAAAATCCGTCTTCCCAACGAGCTATGAGTTATATAGCAGAGTAGACACAGCTTTGTAGCTTAAGTGAGAAGCGAGGCTAGGAGAAATACTCTGAATGTAAAGCAACATGGCGCACACTATTTTTCATAAAAAGTCCATTAAAGTGATTTAAAGATAATAAAGGAAAAGAATCTGTGGAAAGATGGTCTTCAAAAAATAAATAAATCTGGTCTTTTGGTCATATTTTGGAATCTGAATCAAACCAAGAAATGGTTGCACCCTCTGCTTATATATAAATAGAATAATAATTCAATTCAGTAAAAGAAAATTTGAATTATAATTGTTCGTTGAGACTTTGAATAAAATCAAAAACTAAATTTTCAAAAATGTCCGTAGTTAAGAAATAAGATTAGGTATATAATTTTGAGTTACGTTTGCCTTGTTAGGCGGTTCATTTTTTTGCGAAAAGAATCATTAAAATAACTGAATTACCAACCACGTGAATATACTTTAAAAAGATGTTTGTGTAAGTTCTAAAAAGAAAAACGTTGAAGAAGATAACATTTCTCGATTAAGTTATTTTTTAAGTTACGATGCCTAAAGTTAAGGTATCTTTTATATTTTGGAATTTTTTGTTCCATATAAATTTATTGCTGGTAAAACACGAAACAGCAACCAAAAAAGCAATATTATTGTTATTTATGCATCAGGCTATAATAGACGAGATATTCTATCCTGTAATCGAACAGATTCGCGTTTTCTCATCAATAATGTGTTGCATGATTAATCAGTTTTATTTATTGTGTATCAGGAGAATCGCTTTGGTCTATTGCCATATCACGTTGAAACACCGTTCTCTTATAATCACTGAAGTTAAGCAATGTTGAGCCAGGTCAGTAGATGGGTAACCGCTTGGAAATACCAGGTGCTGTAAGCTTGGATGGACGGGTGGTCTAATGGATGTGCCTAGTTTCAGTCGGGTGTGTTATATTCAGATACGTTCAAATACCCTTGGCAAAGGTATGAATCTACCTCTTTTCCTCCATCTATGGTTTAATTAATCTTGGACTAGTAAAATCATTAATATCTTCAAAAACTTCTTACAAGCTAAAAGTATTTTCTGGTTTTAAATAACCTGTAAAAGGTTGATAAGCCGTAAAAAACAAATCACTAGAATCTTTTATCTGAATTTTTAAACGGTTTTTTCTTTTCAGCAATAATTTTGCCAATTTGGAATGATCAATTTTTCAAATACTTAACGGATTCACAGTCAGAATTAAATGAAATTTTCCTTCTCCTATGTGGCTAGTATTTACACATGCATGATGTGATATTTTCAAGCACCCAGGATTGGGATCTCAGAATATTATGACCTAACCACTGAGCCCCGCCTGCAAGGGTAGTAAAAGACAATGTTGGACAAAAGTGGTGGTAACATAGGCTTGAAGGAAAGAGTGTTGGCGGGCTGAGTAGTCGTTGTCTAACAAGCGTAGTTTTGCGCTGTCCCCATCTGCCATTACTGGCGTTCCCATCTCTAATTAGACGAGATGAGTCGTCGCCTAGGCGACAACGCCAAAAAACGAGACAATGGCCTGTCGCACAGTGAAACACTTGGGCCGTCGCCAGTGTTATTTCTAATTTAGTGTTAATTGTTTCAAGAGAGGACCAGCCAAAGGTGCACGTTCCCATGTGTTTCCCTGATTTCTAGCCTCTTGTCATTTGCCCTCCTCTTATGACTGCAGCTTTTTACGCAAACACTGAGTCGCATGCAGTCGCATGTCACAAGTTCGCTTTTCATTATTTGAAACGGCTGCGTGTCTAAGTCCATTTATAAAGGTAAAAAGCGTATATGGGCTTCTGAAAATCAGTATATGAATATCAGCTTATGTATCTGTGTAAGGATATGTGTGCAGAACTTGCTTTGCATTTATCAATGGATGTAAGTGGCAGCTTATGTGTGTACGGGCACACTCCGTTGGACAGGTGTATGTGCGTCGAAAGAGAAAAGAGGAGCGTTTTACACGTGTCTATGCGTGTTTGGCGTTAAGTATTGTACACATGCATGTACGATTTAATGTATATGAAGGTGAAGGTCATCAGTATGTGTTGACACAGTTGTTTATGTATCCCTCTATATGCATGTATGTGTATTGAATTCCATTTCAATATTACTACGTGAAAAAATGCGAGGAAATGTGTGCGCACTCTCGTGTGTGTGTGTGTGTGTGTGTGTGTGTGTGTGTGTGTGTGTGTGTGTGTGTGTGTGTGTTTGATTATGTACGCCCTTGAAGTAAATTGGGTCTGTCTTTCTATCTCTCTCTCTCTCTCTCTCTCTCTCTCTCTCTCTCTCTCTATATATATATATATATATATATATATATATATATATAAACATAAGATTTTTCTAGTTAAACGGTTATGGAACTTTGAAGAGAAATAAAGCTCATGTAATTTACAATTCTGCTTAATCTAATTCCGATGCCAAAACACTTTATCTACTTTTCAGCATTGGTACCTTGGAAGGTGTATACAACACAGGACGCCTACTGTTAAACTATAGTTAGCAAACCAGACTTGAAAACACTTGCTAGTGCTGAAAGTTTGTGTGCGACCCATTATTATGCCGTTGTACAATCTATTCATAATTTAACTCGTCGAATGTAGATAGGATGTAAGTAAAAGTATCAATGAGAATTAATAGATATGCGAACGCAAAGATATGTATATGGTGCCTGTTGAGGATATAATCGTGACAATTTGCGAATGTTTACAGAAGCGACAATAGAAGCAGAATTAACGAATCAAGTCTTAATTCCAAAAGACCACTGACTTCATTCTAATAATGATTTATCGTTAAAAGTCTTTGTTTGACTATAGATATAAAATATATATATATATATATATATATATATATATATATATATATATATATACAATACGTACTAGAACAAGGTCTTTCATAAACTGTAAGTGTATGAATCCGTCAATGTTCATGAATATGTGTTTGTGAACGGAGTACATATTAGAGTGTGTTTGCTTGTTGACAATACAGAAATGTATGTATGAAAGCAATTTTAGCCTACATTTATATACAATATGAATCATAAGATGGATATGTATTTTAGGCATAATAAAACTGTGATATGCTTGGTACTAATAATTATTACATATATTTACAAATATAATTATACATATATTTACATTTAGACGTAAATATTTAAAAACTGGACAGATTTTTTTTAAATATTCGTGTCAGTGTTTTCTATATACACGTATCATTTACATATAGATTGTATTTTTGTTATTATATGCAGTGTATTTATATTTTTTAAAGTTATGCATATATATGTGTGTGTGTGTGTGTGTAGAAGAGAGATGTGTATATATACTCGTATTTTGAATTTCCAATTATATCTTATGAATCTGTGTGCGTGTGTGTGTGTGTGTGTGTGTACGCATGTACCTGTGCATCTCTTGTGTAGCTGTCTGTCCGATATTTGTGAAGCAGGTATATGTGTCACTGTTTTATATATGCAATAATATCATGTGCATGTGTATGTTTCGATTGTACATATTTGCATTCGTGTATGTGGGCACATTTGCTTTAATATGGGTGTTTTGACATTACACGCGCGTGGTACCCTCTGTGTGTGTGTGTGTGTGTGTGTGTGTGTGTGTGTGTGTGTGTGTGTGTGTGTGTGTGTGTGTGTGTGAACGCGCTTCCAAATGTGCCATACGAAAGTGGATTGCTTGCATTGTCCTCATCTGGTAGCCATGTGTCTGGTGGTAAGTAGCCGCCGACGGGGACGTGCCCTTTAGGTGAGGCCGCAACACGGATTTCTCGTCACAACTAGAAACAAATATTTGTACGCCGTAAAAAAAAAAAAAAAAAAAGAAAGAAAAAAACTATTCCCACAAGATTGCAGCCGCGCTGCGTAGAATTGTCCGCTAATTGAGCAGAGAAAATAGAACGGGGCAGCAAGAGAGTTTCTGTTGCCAGTGAAAGCTTTTGAATTTGAAGGTTAAAGTTAGAGATCAAGAAGGAGAGGGAAAAGAGAATAGAGAAAATATAAAAGGAGAATAAATGAAAGATGTACAATGAGGGAGGAAAGTGAGAGAGAGAAAGAGAGTGAGGTGGATTGTTTGGTGAAATTGTGTGGATTGTCAAGAGAGGCGGTTTGTTATTGGCATTTTGATCAGTGTTCATATTGTTGTTAGATTGGATGTAATTAATATAAGCAGAATATGTTTATATGATTCTATAGAGAAGAGCTTGGAAAAATTGTTTAGAAATGCCTATGAGTGTAGGAGAGAAAGAGAGGAAGCCTATGTTTTAAAGTCACACGCACGTCCATATCCAAATATATGCCAATACTTCTAAGCGTTTCGTTCTACGCACAAAGATATACATGTTTTCCATCTTTATTTTCAATGAAAATTAATTAAGAAAATACAGGATGATAAAGATAGAAATATTTTTTTTTATTATATTATGAATATTTATTAATCGCTACATTATTTCCTACAAAATGAGACGTAATAACCTTTTAAAGATGTATGAATATATAATTCATGTTTTAGCCTATGACGTAATCAAACAGAATTTTAGAAAAATTATACTTTAAATAGTTTTACTTTTCCACGTTAATAGCTAAACTGAACAATTAATTATTTATTGTTTTCAATTATACACAAATTTTAAAAATTCGATTGATTATTGTTTTCTTTTAATTGCCGATTAATTTCATCAACAATTGAGTATTTTCTTGCGGAGCTGAGGCGCCTCGGCGGGAAAAAGGCTAGAAGTACGTTCGATCCTTACTGGGTACCCAATATAAAATTTGACATTAAATCACCCAACAAAGGTTGATGTGACGTAAAATCAATTAATCTCATTTGTCAACTTATTATGCTAATAATTTTAGACAACTAATAGCCGCATCTCATTCCGATCTCCCAGTTGTTCAACTTGAGTTTTTAATAATCAATCTCCCCTCTATAATACGAGCGGATTAGACCTAGTCTTATATTTGCATGCCTTTTTCAGGTTACATAATGCTAGAAGATTTCGGCCTAACCTATAAGCTTTTCAAAAAATGCCTTTTGGTTAGATTTAGGGAGAAGATCAGGCCAATAACTTATCAGCGCCCTTTCGAGATGCAAAATTTTATAAATGGTTCTAATGTTTATCTTCTTTGTAATTTTGAGGCGTTTGCATAAACATTAGTAACATACTTGACAAAATATGACAATAACAACAAGATGCTTATAAAGTGCTGATACCTAAATTTTATTTTCGAAGAGGTATCGATGAAATCGATATGGATAAAAGAAAACTGAAAGTGAAAATGAATTAAAATACTGGCTGCACTTCATCAAAAAGTTTAACTTAAAATATCAGTATAAAATATTGATAAAAAATGTAATTGAATAAGGTATAAACAAGAATCGAGAATAAAATGATTAATTTTCAAATATTTTTAGCTTGTGATATTATTAATCATATTTTATGAATTGAACATAAACTTTTGAAATGTTAACAATATGAATACCCTACATGGTTGATGTTTAAATATTTTTAATATCATTCAATTGAGAAGAAAACAAATGATTGTAATTATTTTCAAAGTAACTAAAAATACATCACATTGATTTGTGAGTTACACTGGAAATCGTCTTTCTCAACTGATTTTCATGAAGTAAATACATTAACAAATTAATCAATTTCAAAATCATAATTATATAATTTGGCTGTTTTTTGTTTAGCTGCATATCAACACATCTATGGATGATTTAATGTCAAAATCTAAAAATGAAAATTCAAAATTCACATTTAATTTAAGAAAATAACATTATTTCACGATTAAATTATAATTACTTAGCTGCATTTCTTTTACCAAATAATCTTAGAAAATCAAAATAGGAATGAAAACGT